CTAATCCATTGTCCCCTTCATGCTAAGTACTTGAAAATTTCAGAATGCTTGATAAACATTAGAGAAGCCTAATCCCTATGTTGTCAGTATTGTTACACTTCTGAAGGTGAGAGGAGACTGAAAAAGTGAGTGATTTACCCCAAGCATTCTGCCTTAGAGGTAGGATCATTTAACACCAGCATTTCCAAACTCAGAACTCGAGACCATCTGGAAAGTCTGTTTAAGACATATATGTCAAGAACAGGCATATCTAGGGGTGCCAGGGTGGCTCAGTTGGTTGGACGACTGCCTTCGGCTTGGGTCTTGGTCCTGGAGTCCTGGGATCGAGTCCTGCATTGGGTTCCCTGCTCGGCGGGGAGTCTGCTTCTCCCTCTGACCCTCCCCACTCTGGTGCTCTCTCTCTCACTCATTCTCTCTCTCTCTCTCAAAAAAAATAGGCATTTCTATAGAGATAGAAAGTACAGTAGCAGTTATCTAAAGCTGGGTGGGGGATAGAGAGTGACTGCTAATGGCAATGTGATTTATTTGGGGGGATGATTAAAATATCCTAAAATTGATTGTGCTGATGGTTGCACAACTCTGAATATACCAAAAACCACTGAAATGAACATTTTCCATGGGTGAGTTATATGGTATGTGATCTGTATTTCAATAAAGCTGTTGAAAAACATATGTGGCTTTGTAAATTTATTTTCCTGTAATTCAAATAATTTTAGCTGACTGGTGAATTGAAAAGCCAATTATGAGATAATTTATGCACTTTCAGAGCAAGGTTGGAAAATACAAGTTCCCCTACTTTTAGCCCAGCCATGAGCAGTTTCTGTCACCAAGGTGAAACATGGTATTGAGCCCTTTGTCCTCTTAGGGAAAATGTGCTCAAGAAAGATACAGGCATTGTTCTTCCTCTAGCAATGTTTCCTCTACTGTGGTGACCTCCTTCACCACGTTAAGAGTCTCCTTCCTCATTGTGTTAGACTTTTGGCAACCTCAGGCCTGAAGAGTAAGTCCTGAAACAGCTGTTGAGAGTCACAAGTCAGTGTACTGAAATGCGTGACCTTTATTCCACAAAAAGGCTCAGACCTGCGTCTGCTTTTACTGAGTTTGCTTTTACTTTAAAAATAATTCTAACAAACATGTCTGTTTTCCCAACCAGAACAAATGAGGACTTGCCAATTTTGGAAGAGGAAGTTTCCTGGTTTACTGGAGGCATACCAGTGATTGCTGATTGCTTAATGGAGCAAGGAGAAGTAGCTACAAAGGGGTCCGTGTGGCTCAGAAGCAAACAGCCCTACATGCGGTGACTCTCAGTCATCAATAAGAGGCTGTTTATTCTCCCACAGACTCAGCCAACAATGCCAGGGCTTTTTAAAAGTGGCTTTGGTATCAGGTAAGAGGGCCTATGCGACTTTCAGAGGCCTGTGAAAATAAAGTTAATCTATGGCTCTAAAATCAAAGTGAATGAATAAAATAGTTACAAAATGTATCGTCTTTGTCAATTCACCGCTGAATTTGATATTCATAAAATATTGATGGCACATGAAAATAATTTGTAGGTCTGATTTTCTCCCTGCACAAGAATTACTATATATGAAAGTTGCAGAAAAATCATGGGCCAATATAAATTAAATGGTATTCATGGCTAAATCGTTTTAATAGCAATGTAATAAAAACCTTTCCAAAAATGTACAATAAAAAGTCTATTATCTTGGGCTGTGGGTACCTTTTGATATGTTTGATAGTATGCTAGCTAGGGTTAGTGGAGGCTCAGTCAACGGGCCTGCGTCTCTGCTCCCTTTGTCCTCAGGCCTTCCCTGTGTGCTGTTTGGAAGTCTGCTTCATGGAAAATCAACTTCCCGTCCTTAACCTGGCTCAGAGCTGTGAGCTCCCCGGCACCTCCCAGCTGGTGGGGGCTGGACCTTCTCCCACATCAGCCCTGGAGTGGAAAATACGGTTAGGCTCTCCTCACTTGTCTTTGAGACGCTGCCCTTCCGGTCAAGTATACACGACTCAGGCCATCCCACCAGCTTGTCCTGTGCCTCACCTCACCTACTAGCTGTCACCTCCTGGTCATTCTCCTTTCTTGATGGCAAATTCTGACACCTTCTTTCCTACCCACCCCAAATTCTGATCTCATCCTGGCCTTCACTTTTATAAAATGTAGATACCATTGCTCAACCGCACCTCCTTTCCCCTAACCCCAATGAAAGAGGGTTTCCTCCCCACCTGTCTAGTGGGAACCCCTACAACTAATGAAAGCCCGCTCACACGCTCTGCCTCGCCCACCTCCTCCGTGCTTCCTCACTCAGCTCAGTCATCCCCTCTATCAAGTCTCCCTATCATTTCAAATACTTATTTATTGAGATTCTGATTTACATATAAAGTTCACCCTTTTAAAGCATATAATTCAGTGGTTTTTAGTGTATTCCTAAGGCTGCATAACTGTCACAATTCCAAAACATTTTCATCATCTCATACCTATTAACAATTGCTCCCCATCCCCCGATTCTTCCCTAGCTCTAGGCAACCAAGAATCTGCTTTCTATCTCTATGGATTTGCCTATTCTGAACATTTCATATAAATGGCATCATTTGGGTCTGGCTTCTTTTACTCAACATAATACTATCAAGGTTCATCCACATTGTAGCATGTTTCAGAGCTTCCTTCTTTTGAATGATATTCCATTGTGTGGATACACCATGGTATGGACTGAAGATTTGTGTCCCCCCCCAAACTCATGTTGAAGCCCTAATTCCCAATGTGATAGTATTTGGAGGTGAGGTCTTTGGCAGGTAATTAGGTTAGATGAGATCAAGAGGGTACAGTCCCCATGATGAGATCGGTGTTCTTACAAGAAAAGGAAGAGACACCAGAGATTCCTTTCTCCTTATGAGGATCCAGTAAGAATGTGGCTGTTTACAAGCCAGGAAGAGAGCTCTCACCAGACTGAATCTGCTGGCACCTTGATCTTGGACTTCCCAACCTCTAGAACTGTGAGAAATTAAATGCCTGCTGTTTAAGCTGCCCAGTCTATAGTATTTTGTTATGGCAGCTCAAGCTAATACATACATTTTGTTTATTATCAATGATAAACAAATGATGGACACTTGGGTTGTTTCCACTTTTTGGCTATTATGAATAACAAAATGAACATTTGTGTACAAGTTTTTGTGTAAACAGGTGTTTTCATTTCTTTTGGGTATATATGTAGGAGTGGAATTGCTGGGTCATATGGTAACCACCAGACTGTTTCCTAATATGACTGCATTATTTTACATTCCTAAACAGCAAGGTATGAAGACTTGAATTTCTTCACATCCTTGCCAACACCTGACACCGTCTGTCTTATTGATTATAGTCATCCTAGTGGGTGTGAAGTGGTGTCTCATTAGGGTTTTGATTTGCCTTTCCCTGATGACTAAAGGTGTTGAGCATATTTTCAGGTGCTTATTGGCCATTTGTATATTTTCTTGGGAGAAATGTCTATTCATCTCCTTTGCCCATTTCTAAATTGGGTTATTTGTCTTTTTATTGCTGAGATATTTGTCATCATTTAAAGATGGTCAAGTCTCTACAATTTTAAAGCAAACAAACCGTTGGCCTGCTCCAAATCCTTGCTGCGGCCACTGTTTCTTGCAGAATTTTTTGAAACAGCTCTGGACACTGGTGGTTGCCACCCACTCTCTTTTGAAGCTGTTGCAATCAGGCTTCTGAAGCCAGCACTTCACTGAAACTGCTCTGAGCAAGGTCAGCAGTGGCCGTTTGTTACTAAATACAATGGACACTTCTCAATTCCCAGCTTGAATTCTCTGTAGTATTTATCTTTGAGTTCCTCCCCATCTTTATCAAAGGATTAGAGATCCTTGGCTTAAATATCAGCACACGCTTCAGATTGTTCTCATACATCGCTGGCTGCTCTTCAGTTTTCTCAATGGGCTTCTCTTATTCTGTTCATTCTCAAGATTTTGTCTTCAGTCCTCTGTTTTCCACTTGTACATAGTGTCACAGGGCAACTGCATTCATTCTCATGGGTTTAATTACCACTCAACACTGCTCACTCCTACATCTCATCTCTATCTCCCGCCTAGACTACACTCCCGGGGTTCCCAGTTTGTAGATCTGTCTAATCAACATCTCTACCTGGACTTCCATCCATCCTTAAACTTTACATGTCCCAAACAAACATTATATCTTTACCTCTCTAGCCTTCCCTAACTCAGGGAATAACATCAGTTACAGAATTCCATAGATTAAAAATTTTTTAAGTCACTCACATTTGTTTACTTCCTTCCATTCCAGACCCCTGTTCCCTAGTCCCTACCACTTAACAAGATGACCCCAGTTCCACTGCCTTCTCCAAACTGTGGCCAGAGATCCTTCTAACATGCAAATCTCAACATATCATCCCTCTGTTTACATGAGCTACTGTAAGAGACGGAAGCCAGACACATTAAGGTTTCAATGTTAACACCATTCACGTATTGGCTGCAAGACAGTGATGAATTACTTAACTCCACCATGTTTTAGTCTTCTTGCTTTAAAAAAATAAAAAATAAAAAAAAAAGGAGAGACACACACGAACGTACCATTTCATGGATCTTCCTGAGGATTCAGAAGATGCGCCCAGATGCCCTTGGCTCAGAGTCAGGCACATTTTACGTGCTCAATACATTTTAATTATTTGTATTAAGACCTTCCAATAGAGGCAAATCAAGGATCATCACTTTTATACTAAAATGTGAAGATTCAATGGGATGACTTTAAACTCTTTTAAGAAAGACTCCTTTGGACCCTGCAGCCTGGTAATCAGCTGCAGCTGCAGCTGCACTCTGCTGGGCACTCAGCTTCGGCGTCCGAAAAGTGCTCTGGAGAGGAGGCGACAGTGGTGCCGCTAGCATTCCGAAACGAGGACGCAGAATCGGGAATCGGTGCCGCAGCCCGGGTCTCTCCCGGAGCACGGCCGCAGGACAGCCCAGACCGCGGGCTTCTTCCCCGCCCCGCCCCCGCCCGTTACCCTGGCGACAGTCCCTGCCGCCCCTTCGCCCCGCGGCGGGCTCCCCGGACCTGCGGCCGTAAGTACCGAAAGCCTTTCAAGCAAAGCCCACACAACCAAACCACAAACCACAGCAGCCATCCCAGCCCGGTCGCTTCCTCCCGTCCCCCGCCAGCACCCAGGGCAGCGCTCACTCCACCCTGCGGGCCCCGCGGCGCCGGCGGCGGCGACCCCGGGAGTTCCGCAGGTGCGGGCCCGCCGCCGCATGTCTGCCGCCCGGCCCGGCATTCCCTCCCGGAGCCCGGGGCGCTCACCTTGAAGGACATCTTCCACATGTCCGCGGCCACCCCAGCGCGACCGGCACGCTTCCGGCGCGGGGCGCCCGCCCCAGGCCGCTCTCCCCTCCCCGCCGGGTTCCGCAGTGGGGAGGCCTCCGGCGCCGCGCGCTCCAGCCTCAGAC